TTATCTCATGACTTCATTTGCGACTAAAAACTGAAACAAAAGAAAAGCAGTATATGAGACAAAGTATAGCAATGACAGCTATAATAAACAAAACTAGAACTGAACCAACCTTTTAACCGTGTTTAAATAAAGATTATTAAAAAACCAAACTCAGTGACGAGATTACATACACTCTCGAGGAAATTGATTTTATCTGTAACCACTGGCACAGCTGGAAATGTCAAAAACCTCTCTTAGCTAAGCCTTAAATTTGCTTGTTTCATCGTCACAGTGTTTTGAAAAGATTCCAGTAGAAAATGAAAGATAAAGCCCTGATAGGGAAATCTGACAGAAACGTCAACACGTCAATAGGTCATTGTTAATTTCGAAGGAGGTTCACTTTTAAATAGAGCAGACTAGTGTGGTTTGATCATTTTGATTTGGAATTCTTTGAGAACGCAGAAACTTAAAGAAAGCAGAAAGTTTAACCCTAGATTCATTTGATCCAAAGTGACGGAAGAAGTTAACGTCTCTATTTACCGCTGAGAGAGGAACTGATTAATTGTTTGACTAGAAGTGAACCGAATCTCACTGGGCCTTCCATAGGTGGGTACTTTAATTGTCTGTTTATAATCTTTTCATATCTGGTAATATGTGTAGCTGTTGCTGTTTATTATCTACATACCAATCACGACTTATACCTAATCTCATTGGCGAGTTTGACTCTCCTTTTATGAATCTAAATAACTCAAGGGTTTTTGAAGTTTTTCTTTCAGTGAATTTGGTTTAAGCGTTGGCTAATGATGCTATGAATAAACCGATGTGATTTTTCCATTATTTTGCAGACAAAGTTCCAGTTGTAACCTGACGCTTTTACCGACAATTGTTTTCTCCCCACAGAGCAAATTAAAAGGAGTGGTGAGTACAACATGGATGATTTCGTTAACTACTCCTAATGAATCATAAACGTCTTAACGTCAGTATGACATCGGGAGGTTTATGTTAAACAAACTGTTTTAAATTGGTACTAAGAAATATAAGTTTTCGTAAATTAGTATTTCACTTTCTGAAAGCGAAGGAATCTATGATTACGTGAAATTTTCTCACGCGCATTGTTTGTCATACTTCAAGAGTTACGCCAAAAATCTACTGCAACAATCAATTCGGCCGAATATCAGAAACTGTGAGAAAGCCACGTGACTCCTCATTTTCAGTACGAATTTTTAAATTGTGACCGACACACTGATTTGAAAAAAATCTTGCCGAAATTGAAAGCTAGTCTAGAATTTAAACATGTAATGCATGCGTCATCGTTCAAAGTACCTTTTCACCTGACGGAAATGTATTCAGATGAAGGTCCAATTTCGACTTTCTGCACAGAAGATTGCCATTCACTTGTGATCAACTTAATTCTAGAAAAGCTAGTACCCCGAGATTTCAGCTTATTCGTCTCACTATGATCCAGATTGGCTGCACGAAATAAAACTCGACCGGAGTCTGTAATCTCTTCCAAACAACGCAGGCACCGGTGTCTACACTACATACAATTTTAAGTCCTTGATTGCGAATAGTGAATTCGGTCACAGAGGTTTCTGTATTGTTTCCTCAACAGTTGTAAAGGACAGTTCGGACGTCTTTTCTATGCAGACAGATTTCGTAATAGCCCGTACGTTTTGTTTCCCATTGGGCTAAGAATCAATGCCACTTGCTTCGCTTCTTCTGTTTAATTGGCGATGAAGTATTGTATATTGCTCTTCTCGTTCGACGTAGACATTCCAGTCGTCGTTAATTTCGCCGAAGTCTTCTAGTTTTCCAATCGGCATAGTGACGTACATCCGAAGTTTCTCTTTTCACGGCATGGGATCTGAATTCTCGTCGCCAATCTGTTGAGTCTCACGGAATAACCTGACTTAAATCACAAACGTTAATACTCAAACATGGCGGTTCAACACAACAAGCACGCACGCATGCATGAAATGTGCGCACATACTGATAACAACACCAACAGGCTAGTTTGTGCTCCATGGCCTCGGAGACACATTTCACTTCTACATCGCCTGGAAATGTCTCGATGGCTTTGGAAACATACTTAACTCCTCCTACATTGCCTGGAAATGTCTCGTTGGCTTTAGACGTTCATTTGACTCCTTCTTCATCGTTTTGAAATGTCTTGACGACTTCGGAAACACCTTTAACTCCTTCCACAATAGATATTTCCAATACTTATAGCTTAGAAACACAAGTAAAATTACCTAAACTTAACATAAGAAAGTTTGATGGAGGCATCAGTAAGTGGCCCTCGTTCTGGGATGCATTTACTCGTCTGTGCACAACAATACCAAACTAGCTCCCATGGATGAATTCAATTGCAATCGAACTTCACGTAAGCAACCACCCAAAATTTCAAGCCTAGGAGGTCGTATTCGGGAGGTGGTCGCTTACGAGAGCTTAGACCATATTGGATGAAACTTTAGCCCCATTAGCATATGACAACTGTGGAGAACGATGTTTGAAATGTTTTATTCATGTGAAAAGTCAATTTCCAGTTGTACTACCCAGGAATGCAATAATGTTACAACACCTTATTATCCCATTTGCGCTATATTATCTGTGAAGTGGTCTCTTACGGAGGTTAAAAAGAAATGAACATTTCAAACTTTTAGCTCTAGAAGTGGTTGCGGTCGCTTACGAGAGGTGGTCGCCTACAAGAGGTTGGGTTTTGACCATAGTTATTGTTCATTCAGAGTTAATCCGGTGTCAACTATGTAGATAATGGTGTACTTCGACACTCCAATTATTTGATGTACATTTCCTAACATAATGTCACAAACTTTTATAATCTTGTTATGTCAAAGTCAGTGACAGAAATTCGGGTTTGAGATGAAGTACTCCCGTACAGGTCACCCTTTGCCCCGTAGACTCACTTATTTCTTCCAGTTTGGGGTACGGAGCCCCAGTGAAGCTTTACAACATTGTTACCATAGAAACTAGGTGAAAATCTGTCAGGATAATTACCTCTTTCATTCGGGGTCTTGACCCCTTGAAGAGGGTTGGGGGATTTTGACCCCCTAACTGGAGAGGATTGTGACCTTTCCTTCGGCTTCCTAACTCGGATAGGATAAGGACCTCTCTAGCGAGAATTCAGACCCCCGCAGGGGGTTGGGAGATTATGAACTCCTGGCTGTAGAGGATTGTAATCTATTTGCCATGTTGTATTAGTTTGTAGTCTTGACCTGTGCAGACATTTTTTTCTGGAGCACCTTGTCCCCAACTCCTTTTATCCAACAAACCTGCTATTGTGTATTTTTTGTTGTTTTTGGTTTGGGAGCATTAATGACCCTCGAGTGAAGCAGCATTTCGCTAAGAAACACATGAAGTGGACATTCTACCTTGAGAAGGCACCCTGGTGGGGTGGAGTGTTTGAGAGACTTGTGAAGTCAGTTAAGAGGTGTCTGAAGAAGACTATCAGTGGAGCTAGCCTTACCTATGAAGAACTATTGACTGTGATTATAGAACTTAAAATGATCCTCAACTGCAGACCTTTGTCATATGTACTTAATAGATTTAGCCAAGCCTGAAAGCGGAGCTCCAAGGCCAGGTCGTTCAAAGCCCGATTAAGCTAACCCAAGATAAGCGAGAATTTTGATTTGAGTTGCCGTGAGGTTTTCTATTTATTATTGTTTGGCGTTCTCTTTTGAGTTTGAATAACCTTAACCCGACACAAAACATAAGCAGTGAAAAATATTTTTGTACAAGAAAAATTTATACCTCGGTTAACTTTTAATCCTGGGTTAGCGTTAACCAGCTTCCGAACAGCCCGGCTCCCGCTTGAGCTCGCGTTTCAATCGAAACTCAGTACTCGGACAGCGGTCAACTTAAAAAAAAAACACATTACCTCGATGAGTTCTAAACCTGAGTAGCAATATGGTCACGTGGTAATGGTAAGTGGAAAGGTCTCAATTGATATTAGCATGGATGTCCAATATCAAAGATGTATACTGTAAACCAAGGCTGCATTACTTGGTATTAGATGTGCGCGAAGTCGTTGTGTTTCGTCGTCGTCGTCGTAGGGGGCACGCGCCCGCTATCCATGCCGCTAGCCACGTTGACCATGGAAAGGAGTTGCATGGGTTTCTATTTCTATGCATGCGTCTGGTTCTGTTCCTATAGTTATGGTGCTCTGCTTGACGGCCCTTCTGGACCTGAAGCTTCGCCAACAAGTGAAGATTCTAAGGAACCCCTTAGGCCCTCACATCTTCTGTGTGGGCATCGAATCATGAGCCTACCGGGTGATAGGTCAAGTGAAACTGAATACAGCGACACAGACGTCCAGCCGCAAGATTTGCACAGAAGAATGCGCCACCTAAACGATGTCATGAACCACTTTTGGAAGAGACGGAGGAAGGCGTATTTACTCGAATTGCGAAATTCCCGTCGAAATGCTACTCAGCACTCCTCTAACCGCGTCGTATTCATGGGAGATGTGGTTAATGTTCATGACGAAGACCAGCCGAGAGGGAAAGATTGGAGATCTTGTCACGGGATCTGATGGTTACACCAGAGGAGCTGTTGTTCGAGTTAAAACTAAGGCATGAAGACTCACTAAACTCAGACGTCAAGTCTAACGCGTTACCGCTTGGAAGTCCCTTCCAGAAATGATGAGTCAGAACCGACAATGCCTTCCAGGAGAACACAGCCTGACCCAAATGTCAGTAGTGGGAGATCTGAGCGACATCCTGAACTAAGACATGATCGCTCAGGAAGGGTAGCAGCAGTGGAAGCAAACCGGAGATGGAAAACATGGCTGGACAATTTGGACTAAGGAACCTTAACTGACTTTGAACTCAGAACTCATTATTATTGCTGTTTGCATTTCTTTCAAACGATGTAGGGAAATATTTTGACAGGCTTAGTCTAGGCAGCCAGGTTATATCTGGTCAACAGGGGGAAGTGTCACCCAGGTCACGTATGCCGTGACAGTGCGTCACGGACTTAGAGCGCAGTTTATCAAAGATAAGTATGAATGAGCAGGCCTTCACAAGATGGCGTGGTGATGTTGTTGTTTACAGTATTAGATGTTTGAAAATGAGCTTTTATTCTGATTTGAATGATTCAAACGAACTACGGAATACGAGAGTGGAGAAAGGCAACTACAGATTGTTAAAGTTTTAATCTTCAACAATTCTGCGTCAATGGACTAGCGAGAAAATATTCAATAATCGTTTCACGTTAAATAACTATGAACAATTACTGATCCTTGTAATCTCAGAATATTAATCATAATAATTACAATCTTCTCAAATGTTATTGGTGCATAAACTGCTGTATTTTGCTCTAATCAATCTGCAAAGTTGTAATCGGACAGTGTAATTGAACAGTTGGCTGTAATCGGACACCTGTAAACGGACAGTCACATGAGCCAATCATTTTAAGTCCTCTCCACTAAATCCACCAGTCACAGCATTGATTACAATCCCTATAGTAACCAGTTCAAGAGACTGACTTTGTAAAATTGTGGAGGTTTAGTCTCTGGTGACTGTTTTGAAAGAGAATTGACTGCCATTTTGCAAGCTGTTCTCCATATTTGAT